ATGGGTGGTGGGTGGGGGGAGGATGCTGGAGAGACAGTACAGTGGGAAGACCAGTGGCCTTGCATGAGCCTAACTGAGGTCCAATTCTCAGCACCCCCGGTCAGTGCCCTGAGTCCTTCTAGGAGTGATCCTTGAGCACAAAGCCAACAGTAAGCCCTGAACACAGTCAGGTGTGGACCCAGAACAAGAACAAACAGAAAAAAAAAATAACTGGATTAGCCCTCCTGTCCATGTGCTCTCTCTGAAAAGCAGTCCCCCTCTCCCCCAAATTCCCTGCCACCTGGCAGAAAGCCAGCACAAACCCCCAATTCCTCACCCCCCAGCCCCACAAATGTAGTGCTAATTGTCTCAATTTCCTTGCTACTGAGGTTCGAGTCCTTAAAGTTCTAACACCGGTGGCATGGGGCATTTCACTTACTTTTATATTCTAATTGGGCACAGAGGGGCGAGGAGGTTGGCGGGGGGCGGGGGGGAGAGAAATTATAAGATGAAAAAATTGAGAGAGATGGAGAGATGGAGAGGAGAGAACTGATACAGAGATGAGAGAAATGGAGGGATTGAGAGAGAGGGAGAGTGAGCCACTTAGACTGAAATTAAGATTGCCTGGCTGCAGGCCTCTTACCTGCTATCCTCTATCCCCAGCCATCCCCTCACCTACTTTGATTGGTTGCCCTTTTGGTGGTTGAGATTTCAAGTGATCAATGGGATTAACTAGTTCTCTTGCTGCTCCACCCATCCACTCCCAAAAAGTTATCAAAAACCATTTTAATTACTGTCGCTTGGTAGTATACCTTGCAGTCGGGTCACATACCTCCATTTATCATTTACCTTTTCAGGATGGCCACAGTTACATGAGGTCATTATTTCTTAATCTTTGAGGGTCTATGCCTTTAATTGAATTCAAGTCATTGATATCTAAGGTAATTATTGAATGCATGTATTTACTGCCATTTTGCTATTTTTCTAGGTGTTTTCTTGAGTTTGTGTTTTCCAATTTTTTCTCTTGTTCCTGAACATCCACTGTTTGGTACTGTGTACATTTCTTCACCAATTCCTAGGTTTTCCTCTCTAGATGTCAAGGTTTTCCTGAGATTTTTATATAAGTCAATCCTAGTGGTCTATTAGGTGGTTTTATTTTATATTTATTTAATTTAATCTACATGAAATTCAGTTACAAAGTTGTTCATGATTGGATCACAGTCTTTTTTTTTTTTTTACACAAGACTAAAAAGTAGCAACTTTTATTTATTTATTTTTGCTTTTTGGGTCACACCCAGCAGAGCACAGGGGTTACTCCTGGTTCATGCACTCAGGAATTATTCCTGGTGGTACTCAGGGGACCATATGGGATGCTGGGAATCGAACCTGGGTCGGCTGTGTGCAAGGCAAATGGCCTACCGACTGTACTATTGCTCCAGCTCCCTGGATTACAGTCTTAAAATGTTCTACCACCCATCTCTCCACCAGTGTTCATTTCCCACCACAAATGTTCCTAGTTTCCCTCCTGCCACCCCCACCCCCTGCCTTCTTCTATGACAGACACTTTTGTTCCCCCAACCCTTTGGGCATTATGGTTTGCAATACAGGTACTGAAAGTTTATCGTGTATATCCCTTTACCTCCTTTCAGCACTCGGTTCTTGTCCAGAGTGATCCTTTAGAACTATCGCTGTCATAATGGTCTTTTTTTCTGTAACGAGCCACAATCTCACTCCCTTTCTCAACCCTTTATTGTACAATTTTGATTTCTTAAAACTTGTAGGTAGTATTGCCTTGTTTTTGCAAGAATGGCTGGTGGTTATGAATTAATTTTTAACCTATAGAACTTGACTCCCCCTTCTATTCTAAATGATAATCTGGCAAACCAGAGAGTATTGTTTGTTGAAAACCCTTTTCATTCTGAACTGGAATATTTTCTATAGAAAGGTGTGTGGACAATTTAGGGCAGAGGGGAGTTCCCTTACATGAAATGGTTTTTAACTAGAAGTACTGTTCTCTATTCTTATCTTTAGGTTTTAAAACTTTTATTATAATGTTCAATATGTCCTGGATTCATTGTGCTTGGGACTCTGATTTAATTCCATTCTGAAGTCAGGGAAGTCTTGGCTATTATTTCTTTAAATACTTTTTACCTTTTTTTGTATTTTCCTTCTAAGTCCTTTTCTGTTGCCTGGGACCCCTAAAAAGCAGATATTGTTCCTCAGAATGTAGTACCGTGAAGCTCTAATTTTTTTTCTTTTTGGGTCACAACCCGGCAATGCTCAGGGGTTACTCCTGGCTTTGCACTCAGGAATTACTCCTGGAAGTGCTCGGGGGACCATATGGGATGCTGGGAATCGAACCCGGGTTGGCTGCATACAAGAAAAATGCCCTATTCGCTGTGCTATTGCTCCAGCCCCAAGGCTCTTTAAAAAACTTTTCATTTTTCTTTTGGGGGAGGTGTGATTTGGGTCATGCCTGACTCTGTGCTCAGGAATGGCTACTAGCAGTGCTCAGGGAGGATTCGAACCAGGGTCTGTGGGATACAAGGCAAGTGCCCTAACCCTATCTTATCTCTTGGACCCAGCAATTCTTTTTCCATTTGTTATTTTGTTTTGGAGTTTTTGAAACAATATTTTGCCATATTTCTCCAAGTCACTGACTATACTGGCTATTTCTTCTTCTTTATCCCAATACCGTAGTCTTTAACTTGGCTATTATACTTACTGTTGTTGGTTTTGCTTGGGGGCCGCATCTGGCAGTGCTTAGAGTTTAGACCTGATTCTGTACTCAGGGCCATGCTCAGAGAACCGTATGTGGTGACAGGGATCGAACCCGAGTTGGCAACATGCAAGATCAGAGCCTGTATCCCTGTTCTCTCTGGCCCAGTATCGCGGATTGCTTGCCCAGAGCTTTATTTCCTTTAACACTGATATTACTGTTACTGAAACTCACTTTCGATGGGGCTGCTTCATATACTGATTATCCTATACCTATTTAGATGATTGAAGGTCTAGTTTCAACAGCACAGAGGCGGCAGCATCGAAGAGCAGAGAAGTTACAGGTGGAAAATCCTACAAATAGAGACTGCCCCAGCGGCTCTCAACCTGGCTGAGACTTGCCATCCTCTACGCCGGCTCTGCTCTCATCCACGTTTTCTCATCCATGTCGGTCACAGTTATCTCTTCACTGGGACTAGTTCTCACATGTGGATTCTGCTACTCAACCCCTCCATGAGGTGCAGACAGGACAGTGATGCAGCTGCTACAGGCTCAGACTTTCTCAGTAGTCACTGGTAGCAGAGTGAGAGTGACGGTCTAAGGTGTCATCATTCAGTGCGGGTGGCCCAGGCTTGGCTAGAGGCAGGAGGTGACAAGTGAACACAACCAAGTAAAGTCCTCAGAAGTGAAGAGCAGAGGGGCTGTGCGTGGCCTGGGATACCACAGAGGAGCTGCTCTCAGGAGGCACAGGGGACCTGTGACAGCCTCCCTGCCCACCCACAGTCAGAGGGAGTCTATGAGGGGAAGGCACCCCAGGAGTTGGAGAGTGCAGCCCCCATCGGTCCCACATGTCTAACCGCTTTTTTTTTCAGCCCTCTAAATAATCACCCACTGTCTTCCAGCCTCCATGTTTCTGATGGGAACTGTCCATTTCACTGGGGTTCAATGATCTATTTTTATTTTTAGTTAATTGTGCAGCTTTGGATAAGTGGCAGAATAAAAAAAAATTCCCTGCTTTTGTTGCTTCTGTTATTCCAATCCTCATCTCTATGTCCCCTGACCAGCTACTCAGTTTCTAATTAAATTTCTAATTCTTGCAAGTATGTGATTAGTGATTAACATATTCAGATTCGTTCATTGACTTGCCGGCTAATGTACACATTCGCCTTGATTTTCTCCCTCCGAGGCCAACTTAGCACAGAGCTTTTCTACATGTTTGCATAATTCATAGCATTGGTCTCTGTGAGGGTGGCAGAGCATCCTACTTCCTGCTGTCCCCGCCTCAGGGCCGGCCCCTCAGGGAGGGCAGGGACACTCCCTCTGAGGGAGGAGGAGACTGAGTGGCAAGTGACTGAGACATAGAAGCTCAGGGGAGGGCCCAGGAGCCTCCACTGTGGCTGCATGTTCAAGAGACAGGACTTTATCATTCACTCTGGACTTCTCCTGCAATCTTGGCTGGTTAAAAACAAAAGAGTGACAGCATTTTGCTCATTTTCAATTTTGAGAGGGCTCTGCCTCTCATCTCTCTGGAAGCAGTGCTGGTCTGGAAAGACTGCATCTCACCCTGCAGAGTCTCTACCTTCTGTTCTGGGCATGAAAGCACAGACTGGCTGCTCTCTGCCCCAGGAAGCGGCAGCATGAAGAACCAGTCCAAGAGCATTTGACTGTGTCTTGTGAGCAAGCCAGAACTGGTGGTTTCCAGGCTGAATTTGGGGATGAACAACCAGAGGCCCAGGGGCCTCTTGTCTGTCCTCTGCATCATTTTGACAAGCTGGCTTTGCTCTTCAGGCTGATACCCTGTGGGTCACAGGAGGAGGGGGCCCCAGGACTCGTCTTTTCTCATGGTGTATTTAACATCATGTGATTTCTGTGATACTTCGTCACTCTCCCATTTCATGTAACAGAAAAGTGTTCTAACATTTTCACTTAGAAATACTGCTTGCTAGTTTTCACCTGAGCAGGTAGGTTACATTATTATGAATTTTACTTCAGCAATCGGAGAGCCCGGCAAGCTCGGAGAGCCTGGCAAGCTACCGAGAGTATTCGATATGCCAGACACAGTAACAACAAAGTCTCCAATGGAGACGTTACTGGGCCCGCTCGAGCAAATCGACGATCAACGGGAGGGCCTTTTACCTTTTTTTTACTTCAGCAGAGAGGGTGTTACAAAATAGCCAATATGTAAGGGATCTGATGAGTCTAGAACCATAGGACGAGATATATTTTTAAAATAAACACTCAAAAGAACATTTGTGTTCCAAGTCTTTACAAAAGAGTTTATTAAGTTTTAAAGATAATAAAAAATTGAAAATAACTATTCTTTCTTTTTAGAATGCACATTTAGTGATATTTCCATGACAGAACTGTGACCCTTGGGAACATGGTGTAAAACAGCTCTGGCTACAAGGTGCATGGAGGAGAAAGCTCCATGCAGTGACAGGGGCTTAAACAGAGGACTTTGAAAACTGCACTCATTGTTTCAAAGTTTTTGAGACTCATCACCATTCACTGACAGCGCATGGCAATTCCTCACAGAAGACTGCTTTTACTCTAAGCCTGTCCATCTATTACCTTCTATGGTAATTTAAATGAGAACTAGTATAGTTCTGGATCAAAATTGATCTTGCAAAGGGTTTAACAGCCCACAAGGGGAAAAAGATAAAGACATTCTTCTGTACAACATTCCACACAACATTCTGTACATTCTTGGGATTCTTAATAGTTAGGATTCAAAGCTGACAAATTCTAAAAATTATTGGGGACACCTCTCCAGTCCTCAAATGCTTTTCCTCTCTGAATAAATCAGGAAAGAGAATGAGTTCTGGAAAGGCACGCTGAGCTCACACCCAGACTTTGACACGAGGTCAGAGGCCTTCACCCCACCCCAGAACATGACTGTGCCTCCGTGTTCTGTCTTACAATCCTTGATATAAAATGGAAGTTGTGAAATCTGCCCTTGGAAGATTCACTGAGGAGTTCAAGAACCTTCTGGAGCCATCAGCTTTTGTCCTTTGAATCCTAAAAATCAGATCATCTCAGCATCCAGAATTAACCTTTGATTTGTTCTTTCTCTGGTGTCTTGTGTCCTTGGGATCAAAGCCTCTTTCATGGGCACCGAATAAAGCCCAGTGAGGAGTTTTGGCCACATAATCCTTTGAGTCAAATGTTTTTGACCCACCACTGTCTTCATATTCCTGGATGAGCTCTTGGAAACGGTCATAATCAATCCATGTCCACCATTCTCCATCAATCTTAAACTGGAAAGAAAAAAAGTTATGTTTTAATGAAAAGCATCCGTAAAAAAATATCAAAACGTGAATTATAAGACTTTTAAAGAAATCTCCCTATCAGAAAAAATAAATCCTTCATTCTCCATATCAAAGCAGAATGTACCAAGTTGGGCAGACTTTCTTTGTCCTTAGGCCATGGGAGATGGGAGACCCAACTGCTGAAGAAAGAACATGTCTGCAATTGAAATTCAAGTTTATCTTGAGCATTATCACTGAAATTCAAGGCTATTATTTTTTTCTTTCACATTATACTGCCTTCATGGTAAAGCTAAGTTTAATTCCTTATATTTGCTACTTTTCATTTGGTGTCAATTTTCATGGTCGTGTTTGCAGCACCTAGTGGAATATTTTTTATGACTGCACTTAGCCTGAGTTATTAGTGAAATCTTAATCAATGGCTTTTAATTTAGAAATGCCAACAAAATGACTCAAACTAGTCGTTTTAGCAGAACATGGATACAATATCTTATTAGTGGGAAGCCTTGTTAAGAATTTTAATTCAATAAGGGAGAGTAATCCAATTTGTACTCTTTTAAGATAATTGCTTCCCCAAAGTCACTGTAGAATAATGACCCAGGAATGAAGAAAACAGAAAATAAGTTGAATAGGCTCAGAAGAAACTACTAATTGAACTGTGAAAGCGTTGAATTAAAAATATCTATTTGGCATTCTTTTGTATAAATGCATAATATATAGTACAGTGATACTTGATTTACAAACAGACCATATCTAAGTTGTGCCAGCAAGACCTCTGACTATGCACCAAATTAAGTTACCAAATTAAGTAACAAATGCATATTCTAGTTAAGAAAACTACTCAAAACATTTAGGATCTTGGATTTAGAATATGAAAATATGATGAACTTAAATGATGCAAAAAATTTTACAGCAAGAGCTAAAGACTTTCTTAGGGAAAAGAATACAAAGTGGGAAAGTTTAGTCTATCTATGAATCGTGAGAAATTTCCCTGCTTTGAAATGGTGCCCCTTGTGCTCTATGATTCTACAAACCAAGAGTAAAACCCGTGTTTTACCATCCCTTGCCTGAGTGTTGTCTGTTCATGTGAAAGCAATCACAGTTGTGTTCAAGTACCAGGTCTCAAAACTAGAGTCAAAGGACACCTGCTTTCCTGCCCCCAATTCCCATTCCTGAAGGGGCCAGGCCCTGCGGATCTTCCTTAGAAGTGATTCTATTCCCCCCCCCCACCCCCAACCCCATACCCTGACACTGCCCAAGGCAGGCCCACCTTTGGAACTTGGCAGCAGTCTTCTAGCAGATTTCATTTGGGGTTACTTCCTACCACTGAGATCTGTCCAGAAGTACTTTGTCCACTGTTAAGAGAGCCCTGGGATCTAGACTTTTGGGTCCAAGTCTCCACCTGGAGGCCCTTTCTGAGATATCCCTGCCCCACAGGCCATCCCCAAGGTGTTCCCTCTGTCTTACTAATATGGACTTATGTCACAGAGCTCCACATAAATGTCCTTTGCACAGGGAAATTTTCCAGAATCCCTTTACCATGACCATTCTCACCACACACTGAACTTGCCTAACAAAAGCTATGTAGATTCAATAAAATAAAATAAAAAAAAAGGCTATGTAGTGATCTCCGCACCCCATCTTACGACACTGACAAGGCAGGTTTTGTGATTGCTATCTGGCACGTTATAATTTTAGCTGTTATTAGGGAGCATGGGCTGGAGCAATAGCGTAGTGGGTAGGGTGTTTGTCTTGCACGCAGCTGACCTGGGTTTGGTCCCTCTGCCCCTCTCAGAGAGCCCGACAAGCTACCGAGAGTATCCTGCCCACGTGGCAGAGCCTGGCAAGTTCCCTGTGGCGTATTCGATATGCCAAAAACAGTAACAAGTCTCACAATGGAGACGTTACTGGTGCTCACTTGAGCAAATCGATGAATGGGACGACAGTGCTATAGCACTACTAGGGGCCTGGAAGGGCCTCTTCCTACTCTTAATTAAGGTAGAAATACATGATGAAACAATTTCCACCTAATTCCACTGACACCCTGCAAGAGAGGTGAAACCCTACTGTTTCAGGCTTCCTGGGGCAGAACAGCGTCTCCTACCTCAGGCTACTCATAAAAGGAGATGTGACTGGAAATGGCATGACCCCAGATTCCTGATAGGCCACATGATCGGAAATGTGATTTCCCAACCAATAGCCCCTCCTCCCATGACCACTAATGGCGTGCAGTGAACGAAAAATCACACACAACCCCTTCAGGAGGTTGGCCTTTAGGAGAGTGCTCTTGGGGGCCCCTGCTCTGCTTGCTGTGGAAACAAGATCATATTCTCCTCCACCCTAGAGCTCTTCAGAGTTTAAATCTCTAGGTATGAAGTTGGACCTACATCCTGGCCTCTCTTCTCCCTCAAGTTCTAACAATAGCCACAGCTATTCTGAGAGGGGCTAAAGAACTGGACAAGAGTTACAACCATTCTTCCCACACCTAAGAAATATATCCCTCCAACCGTGTGCGCAAAACTTTTCCCTCCCAGAAACACAACTTTCACAGAACTGTAGACAATATATTTTACTTCTAAAATTGCTGACTATATACACTAACTCCTAATAAAATTTGAAGATCTGGGTTCTTCTGATTACGCAACCATCCTGGTTTGAAATAGAAGAAATGGGTTGCCTAGACTTGACTAAAATAGGACAACTGACAACTCTGATTGTCAATGTCTAGGAAAACAAACTGGAAAACAAAGCAAGTGTAATAAATGCAGGGGTACGGGAATGCTCGGCTGCCCCAACAAAACACAGATTGTGTGGCCTCAACAAAAGTTCATTTAATGTCTCCTAGTATAGGAGGCTGGAAGTCTCAGATGAAGGTTCTGGTAAGAGGTGCCTTCTCTCTCTGTCTTTACACAGCCATTTATTGATGCATAAGGAAGAGAGAGAGAGAGAGAGAGAGAGAGAGAGAGAGAGAGAGAGAGAGAGAGAGAGAGGGAGGTCATATTCAATGGGGTTGTGGACATGCTGGATGTCACTAAGGACACCATACCTATCAGATCAGATCCCTTTGCCTATGACTGATCATTTTGTCCCAATTGTTTCCTTAGAGGTCCTCTCTCAAACACAGCCCCACTGGGGCTAGGACTTCAAAGCATACCTTGAGAGGGGACATAAATATTCCATTTCCATCTGCAACAGTAGCCTCTTTTTAAATTCAGCCTGAACCAAAAGGAAAGACTGAGTAAGACTGGCAAAGAAGTAAAGCTGCAAGACAGTGTGAGGAAATCAAGGAGTTAAACTCCAACTCCCAAACTTGAGGTTAAATATGTTGAGACACGAGCTCACCCTGCCTCTAGAATTCTTCAAATCTACGAAGAATTACAAATGAACTCAAGTGGTCACAGAGAGTCTCAAAAAATACAGCACAAGCACAATGACGTCTAGCCTTGACTACACAAACCCGGCTGGCTAAGGTCTGTGGTGTTCCCAGCCAGGGGAGCCAGGGCCAAGGTTCCCACTGTCCAGAACAATCAAACGGCTGCTCAAAGGATCTTGTTCTCCCTTTTCTAATGTTTCGACGAAAATGTCTTCATAAAGTGCTTAATATTCCTATTAAAGGTGGTAGGCTGGAGGCTGGAGAGGTAGTACAGCAGTAAGGCACTTGCCTTAAACACAGCCAACCCCGGTCGATCTCCGGCACCCCATCTGGCATCCTGAGCCTGGTAGGAGTAATTCCCGAGTGCAGAGCCAGAAGTAACCCAAGCACCACTGGGTATGGCCCCCAAACTCAACAACAGCCAAAAAAGGTGGTAAGTTAAACATACGTATTAATTTTCACACATATGTATTAATTTTCACTTTTTGGTTTGCTTGTTTGGGGCCACACCCAGCAGTGCTTGGGGGACCCTATAGGATGCCAGGGATTGAACCCTGGTCGGCTGCATGGAAGGAAAATGTCCTGCCTGCTATACTATCGCTCTGGTCCCTAATTTTTACTTTTTGGAATCTCACTAGGATGATATTAAATTCGTTTCTAAAAGACCGGTAAAAGCAAAGAGATCCAGAGAGAAGAAAACAGCATCAAACTTGAGAAATGCGAGATGATGGATGAGCAGAGCCGGCTTAGCAGACTCAAGAGAACAGAATCCTACGCTGGCAAATAGAGAAATCCAAGACTCAACCCAATTAAGGTTTCAGAATTCCCCCAAAGGCTCAGAAACTGTGGTGCCCCCATCACCCCAGAAGTGGGAATAAAGTAGGTCCCAAACTCCTCCCCCACACCGCCCAAAACCAGACAGGTTTATCTTCTGGCTCCAAATTATTAGCACTTCAGTGGTCTTGCCCCTTGCACACACAGAACACAGCACAAGAGCCGCACAGCTGTCCTGCGGAAGGCAGGAAGTTTAAAAAGGGAGAACCTGCAGACGGTGGGGAGGTAGGTACAAATGGACAGAGGAAAGGGACTGAAAGGGGATCAGAACCACCCCAATCACTACCTGCTACCTGAACTCTGGTGCTAGGTCAACCAAATATCACTGCATCACTGTGGTCCCGTTGTTCATCGATTTGCTCGAGTGGGCACCAGTAACGTCTCCATTTGTCCCAGCCCCGAGATTTTAGCAGCCTCTCCTTACTCGTCCTTCCCAGTGATGCCGTATTTGAGGCTCTTTCAGGGTAAGAGGAAAGAGGCCCGTTATTATTACTGTTTTTGGCATATTGAATATGCCATGGGTAGCTTGCCAGGCTCTGCTGTGCAAAAAAAAAATTAAATAAATAAAAACAACATGGGGGGGGTCACACCTGTCGATGTACAGGGGTTACTCCTGATTCTGCACTCAGGAATTATTCCTGGAGGTGCTCAGGGGACCATATGGGATGCTGGGAATCAAACCCGGGTCAGCCGCATACAAGGCAAAAACCCTATCTGCTGTGCTATCACTCCAGTAAACCAAATAAGCAGGGGAAATGAAAGACCCCCTGCAAAGTCTGGGTTC